AGTGAGTGAGTGAGTGTGTGAGTGAGTGAATGAGTGAGTGAGTGGAGGCGGGTTTGTGTGTCGCTCGCTGTCGGAAAGATGAGAGAGAGAGAAAAAACAGCTGGTATCGTGTCTGTTCTGCGGAAAATGAGTATATAAAGTGTTTCAAATATTTCAGTATCGACATGCATCAAAATATCAACAAAAAAAATTCACTTAGTTTATTATTTTAGGTGCCTTTTTAAAAGACTACAATTGAAAGATGTATATATTACATATAAAATTCAAGCCACCAAAGTGGCAAATAGGAGATTGCGTTACAGGCCACTGCTGAAATACACCCGCGTTTGATAATGTCAAGCCCTGAACATCATCAAAGACACATGACGTGTGTGTGTGTGTGTGTGTTCACCTGTAGGCTGTTTCAGACTGTGATACAGCACGATGTCTTCAGGAGACTGCAGATGTTCGGCCACAGCAGTGATGTCTCGGCCCGTCATGCGGTTCGCGCTCCAGATGCCGCTATTGGACGCGTCGGTCCAGAAGACTTTCTCCTGTTGGACAGACAGAGACACAGCGGCTCATGAGAACCTGACCACTGCAACAAAACATGTTCTTACTCAGTGTTTCTGTCTGCTTTCCAGTCCAAATATCGAAACATTCTTAAATCAAGAAGCATTTACTAGATGAGTAAAATGCCATTAGATATTAAGTCTTGTTTTCTGGGGGAATAAATCTAAATTAAGTGAGTTGTTGCTTAAAACAAGCTAAATTATCAGCCAATGGGGTAAGAAAAATAATCTTGTTTTGAATTAACATTATTTTTCTCACCCCATTGGCAGATCATTTTGCTTTTTTTAAGCAACAACTCACTTAATTTTGTAGAAACCCCCCAGAAAACAAGACATAATATCTTATAGCATTTTACTCATCTAGTAAATTAATCTTGATTTACTTGTTTTTAGATATTTGGACTGGAAACCAGACAAAAAGTAAGAAAAGTGGAGCCAGCTCCACGCACCTCAAACACGGCCAGCGCCAGCGGATGCGGCAGCTTCTGTGGGTTGAAGATCAGCGTGTGCCGCCCGCCTCCGTTCACTCCGATGCTGGACAGCGTGTGTAGCTTTGAGTCGACCCAGTACAGACGCTGATTCACCACATCTGAACACAAACACACATCAGCATACATCACACACGGCACATGTGTTCACACCGAGCGTTCACTCTCTTGAATCCAACACTGAGTGAGTTAACCTGCAGTTCCTCCACTGGCCACTAGAGGCCGGCTGCAGAAGAGACTCAGTCCCATAGACCCCCATGTTAAAATGCCCAACTTTACAGCAGAATAAAACATGTTTACAGTCTGGTGCTAAAAGTGGTTTTGGTCTATATCGCTAATGTTGCCCTTCATGACGACTGTGAGGGGGGTGAATATTTTATTAACTCATCCGTTTAAATTATATTAAGCCTTAAAGTTCTGCATAATTAAGGGCGTGGCCACTTGAGTGACAGGTGGATTGCCGCTGATGTCACTGCTAGCCGTTTGTCGGCTAGCGTTAGCATCACCTCAGCTAATCCGCCTCGCTGCACATTTTTGTTTATCCGGGAGTGACGCGCTGCCAAGATGGAGACGGCCGGCTCCGCCCACTTTGAGCTTCAAAAATGCTCTTCAGAAACACTACAGGTGACGTCACACACACTACGCCCATTTTTGTTTACAGTCTATGGTTCACACGCATCATCTGCGCGTCAGACTCACCGAGCGTGATGCCGTTCGGCCAGACGATGTTGTTTGTGACGAGAGCCGTCCGATCGGCACCGTTCAGTCCGCTCTTCTCAATCCGGGCCGACTCGCCCCAGTCCGTCCAGAACATGAAACTACGTGACATGAAACAACAAGGGATCAACAATTCAATTCATTTAACATTTATTTGTATAGCGCTTTTCACAATACACATCATTTCAAAGCAGCTTTACAGAAAATAAAGAGTCCACATTACAATTTGGACTGATCTGTCTATGTATTTTGAGAAATGTACAAGATCCCAGTTAGCGCACTCACTTGTGCTGAGGATCCACGACGATCGCGCGAGGATTCTGCAGGCCGTCGCTGATTAGCGTCTTGCGTTTCCCGCCGTCCGCCGTCGCCACAGAGATGGTTTGCAGCTCGCCATCCGTCCAATAGATGTTCCCGTGGATCCAGTCCACAGCCAGACCCTCGGGCCTGGAGATCTGGCTGTCAATCACAGTGGTTTGGTGGGCGGGGTCAGCAGTCGCGGCGCTGCGAAACACACACACACACTCGTTTATGATGACGCTCGACACACACTCGTTTATGATGACGCTCGACACACACTCGCTTATGATGACGCTCGACACACACTCGTTCATGATGACGCTCGACACACACTCGCTTATGATGACGCTCGACACACACTCGCTTATGATGACGCTCGACACACACTCGTTCATGATGACGCTCGACACACACTCGCTTATGATGACGCTCGACACACACTCGCTTATGATGACGCTCGACACACACTCGCTTATGATGACGCTCGACACACACTCGCTTATGATGACGCTCGACACACACTCGCTTATGATGACGCTCGACACACACTCGCTTATGATGACGCTCGACACACACTCGCTTATGATGACGCTCGACACACACTCGTTTATGATGACGCTCGACACACACTCGCTTATGATGACGCTCGACACACACTCGCTTATGATGACGCTCGACACACACTCGCTTATGATGACGCTCGACACACACTCGCTTATGATGACGCTCGACACACACTCGCTTATGATGACGCTCGACACACACTCGCTTATGATGACGCTCGACACACACTCGTTTATGATGACGCTCGACACACACTCGCTTATGATGACGCTCGACACACACTCGCTTATGATGACGCTCGACACACACTCGCTTATGATGACGCTCGACACACACTCGCTTATGATGACGCTCGACACACACTCGTTTATGATGACGCTCGACACACACTCGCTTATGATGACGCTCGACACACACTCGTTTATGATGACGCTCGACACACACTCGCTTATGATGACGCTCTACACACACTCGCTTATGATGACGCTCGACACACACTCGCTTATGATGACGCTCGACACACACTCGTTTATGATGACGCTCGACACACACTCGTTTATGATGACGCTCGACACACACTCGTTTATGATGACGCTCGACACACACTCGCTTATGATGACGCTCGACACACACTCGCTTATGATGACGCTCGACACACACTCGCTTATGATGACGCTCGACACACACTCGCTTATGATGACGCTCGACACACACTCGCTTATGATGACGCTCGACACACACTCGTTTATGATGACGCTCGACACACACTCGCTTATGATGACGCTCGACACACACTCGCTTATGATGACGCTCGACACACACTCGCTTATGATGACGCTCGACACACACTCGCTTATGATGACGCTCGACACACACTCGCTTATGATGACGCTCGACACACACTCGTTTATGATGACGCTCGACACACACTCGCTTATGATGACGCTCGACACACACTCGTTTATGATGACGCTCGACACACACTCGCTTATGATGACGCTCTACACACACTCGCTTATGATGACGCTCGACACACACTCGCTTATGATGACGCTCGACACACACTCGTTTATGATGACGCTCGACACACACTCGTTTATGATGACGCTCGACACACACTCGTTTATGATGACGCTCGACACACACTCGCTTATGATGACGCTCGACACACACTCGCTTATGATGACGCTCGACACACACTCGCTTATGATGACGCTCGACACACACTCGCTTATGATGACGCTCGACACACACTCGTTTATGATGACGCTCGACACACACTCGCTTATGATGACGCTCGACACACACTCGCTTATGATGACGCTCGACACACACTCGCTTATGATGAAGCTCGACACACACTCGTTTATGATGACGCTCGACACACACTCGCTTATGATGACGCTCGACACACACTCGCTTATGATGACGCTCGACACACACTCGCTTATGATGACGCTCGACACACACTCGCTTATGATGACGCTCGACACACACTCGCTTATGATGACGCTCGACACACACTCGCTTATGATGACGCTCGACACACACTCGCTTATGATGACGCTCGACACACACTCGCTTATGATGACGCTCGACACACACTCGCTTATGATGACGCTCGACACACACTCGTTTATGATGACGCTCGACACACACTCGCTTATGATGACGCTCGACACACACTCGCTTATGATGACGCTCGACACACACTCGCTTATGATGACGCTCGACACACACTCGTTTATGATGACGCTCGACACACACTCGCTTATGATGACGCTCGACACACACTCGTTTATGATGACGCTCGACACACACTCGCTTATGATGACGCTCGACACACACTCGCTTATGATGACGCTCGACACACACTCGCTTATGATGACGCTCGACACACACTCGCTTATGATGACGCTCGACACACACTCGCTTATGATGACACACACTCGCTTATGATGACGCTCGACACACACTCGCTTATGATGACGCTCGTCACACACTCGCTTATGATGACGCTCGACACACACTCGCTTATGATGACGCTCGACACACACTCGTTTATGATGACGCTCGACACACACTCGCTTATGATGACGCTCGACACACACTCGCTTATGATGACGCTCGACACACACTCGCTTATGATGACGCTCGACACACACTCGCTTATGATGACGCTCGACACACACTCGTTTATGATGACGCTCGACACACACTCGCTTATGATGACGCTCGACACACACTCGTTTATGATGACGCTCGACACACACTCGCTTATGATGACGCTCGACACACACTCGCTTATGATGACGCTCGACACACACTCGCTTATGATGGAGGGAGAAAGAGAAAGATTGAAGCAACTTAGTTTTATTACGTATATTTTGCACCGATTTCCCAGGAAGTGCTGATTTAGTTCTCTTGAACACGAGATGGAAACTCTGCTTTATTCACACATGTTTTATGCGATATTCCAATTTGATCATATTATGAGCTCCTGCTTTCTTTGGGCATCGAAACCACTACCCTCTCTCACCTGTAGATCTTTCTCTGGCTCACGTCAGACCAGAAGATCCTGTCGTTGGGGATGTCCACGTCTAGCGCCGCCACGTTCTTCTGCTGGCGGATCAGGGACGTGTATTCCCTGCTGCCCAGCGCCAGCTTCCTCACCTCGTGACGCGTGCTGAAGAGCAGGAACGCTTCCGATCCTGAGACCAACACATTTACATCAGGGCTGGATTCTCACACATCACAATTCTCTCTGATCATTAGAGTCATTGGTTTACCTGTAAGAGCTTTGCAGTCTTTGGTCATGTGATCCATCTCAAATCCTTCATTACAGTCACACTTGAAGCTGCCCGGCAGGTTTACACAGATCTGAGAGCATCTGTCAGCGTCCAAACACTCATCCACGTCTACACACAAACACATCATGAGACCAAACACACACTCACGGACCATCATGCACTCATCGGGACGGTTGCTCACCTTCACAGTGCGTGCGGTTGATCAGGTGAAATCCTGTCGGACACAAGCATTCGTATCCGATCTTCAGGTCGTTGCACGCGTGAGAACAGCCGCCGTTGTTGATGAGGCACTCGTTAGTGTCTGCACAGAGGAAACACACACGTCACATGATCATCTGTGACCATTTCAACAGTTAACCCACCAATCCCTGGAGATGCCGGAGGAAAAACACAAAATATGGATATTTTCATAAAAAACAACAGTGCCATTTAAAGGGTTACATCCTGATGTCGGTAAAAAATTAAAGTGAAAGTGGAAAATAATAAAATAATATATAATAAAAGAGTTTTTTGACAAACATTTTTAGGCATTTAAAGGGTTAAAATCCTGATGTTGGTAAAAAAAAAAAAAAAATCTAAGTCAGTGACCGTGAATATTTTTATATATTTGTGTGACAGATTTTTGACACGGACATTTTAAGAGTAAAAATCCTGATGTTGGTATAAAAAAATAAAAAAAAGTCAGAGAAAGTTGAAGAAAAAAAACCCCCAATATATAATAATTACATTTTAGGCATTTAAAGGGTTAAAATCCTGATGTTGGTAATAACAAAAAATTTAATCAGCGAAAGTGGGAAATAAATATGAATATAATTGTATGACATATTTTGTCCTCTAAGGACCTCTGTGTATCTTTTTGACACACAAGGGTTAATAAAACATGTTGATGATAAGAACTCGTGTGTGTGATTCTGGATTCTGATAAAGATGTTAATTTCACACAGTTTGCTGTTGGTGCAGATCACACACACACTTCAGGAACACTGAGGTGAAACTCACTGCAGTCTATGGTAGGCTCATCTGACCCGTCGATGCAGTTTGTCTGACTGTCACACACTTGGTCTGCGCTGATACACTCGCCACTGCTACACTTAAAGCGGCTTGGCTCCTCGCACCTGTTCACTACAGACAGACACACAGCAAACAGGTAAACACACTTTGACCGAACAATTTGACTTTTTTTTTTTTTTTATCGGAATGGTACGAAACTTGGTAAAGGTTTTAGCACTTGCTGTGTGAAGAAAAAACAAAAAAACATGGACAGGTTAAATGGTCCTGTAAAAAATGATCACACTTGTGCTGCTCGCGGTCAGAATCGAGCGCATTGTAAATGAATGGAGAGTTTCCTCTAGTGGAAGCGTTCGGTACTGCAGCCGCACACACTCACTGAACGCTCGACTACTGAGAGATCAGCCTCAGATTCGCGACACAGCTTGTTTAGATTTATGGCTTTGATTTTCTTGCAGTTTTAGTGTAAAACTTGATTTTGAAAATATATATTTCATATAAAAATTAAAAATAGTATTTTGGCACATTTTACATAACAATAAACGTAAAATTCTGTGACTTTTTTTAATTTAACTTTTTTAAACTTCAGCAATAATCTGCTAAGTGTCGTCTTTAAAAAGAGACCAAACTTCAGTCTGTCGCTCTAAAGCATTCAGGATTTACGACAGTTTAAGTTGGAAATGTAATGTTCAGATCTATGTTCAATAAGTGAATAAATGGATTATAAATACAGCGTAAATATAATTTAGCACCATAAGATCACCTAAAAATACAAAATATTAAATAAAAAACACTATCAAACTAAAATACAGTACATTAATTTAATTGAAATAAAAAATAAATTCCTGTTATTTTTGACCGCCACGCGAGCAGCACCCCAGCGCTGCATTCACACACGTGATGTGTGTGTGTGTGTGTGATTCTCACCCGTGACGCAGTCCATCTCATCGCTCTGATCCCGGCAGTCAGGGTTCCCGTCACACTGACGCTGTCCTGGGATGCAGACGCCGTCGCTACAGAGGAACTCATCCGGGCGGCACGTGGGCGAAGCTGCAACACACACACACACACACACACACACACAGAGGTCAGAGGAATACTAACCCTTTAAAATGCTAAATTTTTTCTAATTGTCATAATCATATGTTAACAAACAAGTATTCATTACTTCAATGAGCTCATTGTTCCTTCCTTAAATTATTACATTGTTTAAATTAATACATTTTAGCTAACTGTGATTTTGTATTTGTACTTTTCTGAAATGCATAACTTAGACCGTTTCCTCTGATAACAGATCACTCTGAATTGTAATGTGGACTCATGCATTTTCTGTAAAGCTGCTTTGAAACGATAATCACATTTTATAATTAAATGTGAATTTCCTCAAGAGGTCGGCAAAGACACCCAATGTAAGATGTTTAGAGCTGAATTAAAAGGTTTATGCATGAAAATGTGAGTTATTTTGAATTTAAGTTGTAAGAATGTGAGGAACATGCTTAAATTACTATTTATATTTATTATTTATTGATTAAATCTAGTAATTTAAAGGTAAATAAAAATGTTTTTAAAAAATTACATCTAAAAAAAATTGCATTAAAAAAACAATCAAAATGAAATCAAATAAGCTTTCTGGAAAAAAAAAATGTTAAGCATAATTTTAAGGCTTCGGGTCATTTTGACCCGCGAGGGAAAGATGTGTTACAGACCACGAGCGAAGGATGAGGGTTAAAACAGTTACACAGAGGTCCTTAGAGGACAAAACTGTCATACAATTATTAAATATTGATATTTTTTCACATTAGGTGACTTAATTTTTTTTTTACCAACATCACGATTTTAACCCTTAAAATGTCCATGTCAGAAAACTGTCATTCAAGTATTATATATATATATATATATTTTTTTTTATGCCAACATCTGGATTTTAACCCTTTAAATGCTTAAAAATGTCTCAATAAACTGTCACAATTAATATATATTTTTTTTTTTCCAATTTCACTGGCTTAGATTTTGGTTTTAACCCTTTAATATGAGCGGAAAGACGCGCGCGCATGAACCAGACACACTGAACTCACTGCAGTTGTCCTCGTCTGAGTGGTCGCTGCAGTCGAAGCCTCCGTCGCACCTCCAGCTGCCGTGAACACACTCTCCGCTGCCACACGGGAACTCGTGACCCCTGCAGGCCGGCGCCGGTTTCGGACCCGCCCCGGACGGGCAGTTCTGGAGCCACTCGTCGGACCCGTCGGCGCAGTCGGCGTCCCCGTCGCAGGCCCAGAGCCGAGGCACACACACGGAGTTATTGCACTGGAAGGAGCCGGGGCCGCAGGTGGGCACGGGACACGAGTCCTCATCGCTGCCGTCGTCACAGTCCGAATCCTCATCGCAGACGAACGCCTGCGACACACACTGACCGCTACGACAGCGAAACTCCCCATCCGTGCAGTTCTTCAGCGCTAACACACGAATAAACACAACAGAACACAGTCATTCGTCATCTAGCAAACGTGAGCTTGAGTTTCAGTCGTGTTTACATTCATTCTTTTTATTTAGAAAGCACTTTTAAACACACCCGTAGGTTGACCAGAGTTCTGGACCTAAAGTTAAAAATTAACAAGATATAAAAGTTTACAAAAACAATCTAATAAAACAATTTGTATTAAACTTTTAACCCACAACACAAATGAACGTCTTTTGTCATATATTATAAAACGGTTAGTTCCAGTCCTTGATTCTGATTGGTCAATAGCTGTGTTTTGTTCACGATAAAACACGGCGGTGACCGCTTCACCCAACGGTTCTGTGTATCACTACACAACAGCCCTAGCAACCACTCTTAGCAACGTAAACACATGTTTGTTCTCATTGATATTGTTCATTATGGAGTAGAGCATTGTGAGAGATCGAGTAAGCGAGTGGATTTACAGTAGATATAGCACTTTCCTTCAGGACGTCAGTCCTATATTCATCATAAATAAAACACATCCGTTTGAATGTCCGCTGCGATATCTTGTCCTTTTAAAGGGATACTCCACTTTTTTTGTAAATAGGCTCATTTTACAGCTCCCCCAGAGTCCGGTTCTGGCGGTACCACTTTTAGCATAGCTTAGCATTCATCATTGAAGTGGACAAGACAATTAGCATTTCAAAATATTACGCAGCGCCTGGAAATAGGCCACCTTCCGTCAACACAACGGAACTATTTTCAGGCGCTGCGTCATATCATTACGCCTGCTGCTCTCATGGTACGGCAGTGAAGTTTCTTGATTATTACGCAGGAATGAGAGTATAGTTCCTAGCCATATCAGCCTAGAAAATCGCAACTTTACATTTTCCGTCGGTCTTAGTGCACGATGTAACTACAGAAGAGTCAAGTTTTAAATAGGACAAATATCGAAACTCTTTGGTCATTTTTTTTTTTAGAAATGCTAATGGTCTTGTCCACTTCAATGATGTATGCTAAGATATGCTAAAAGTGGTACCGCCAGAACCGGAGATCGGCTGAATGGATTCAAAAACGGTAAAACTCAACAGTTTAACTCTGGGGGAGTTGTAAAATTAGCCTATTTCCAAAAAAAGTGGAGTATCCCTTTAACAGTTAAGAGGTTTTCCCGTGGCGATAGTCTTCTGTCAGTTGCGTCTTCCTTCTCCGTGATCACAAGTTTGACTTCTTTCAATATAAAAGTTTTCTCTACTGACTGACTGACTCACTGATAAAGACAGTCTTTGCCGCCTCTAATGGCGAAAATAATGTGTGTAACTTCTGTTGCTGTTCACGGTCAGGGACTATTTTTCCCAGCGGAAGGAAGGCTTTTAGTGATTTTACTTCATGAATGTTGCGTTGATACATATTTTTTGGCTATAATGTTTGTATTGTGTGGTAACCGTTTTATAAAAGCAATAAGGTACGAGAGGCTAGCGCTGTCTCGTCAATAAGTCACGGCTAACTAACTCCCGCTTCGCGTCGTGCCTAACAACGCCCTTCAGCCGTGACTTATTCACGATATAGACAGCTTTCGTAAATGTGAGTTCTTCAGTGGTATTTACCCAGAGTGCGAATTACCCCACCATAATTGGGGGGTACTGCTCCTTCCCTCATTTTTGAAAACACTCCTATCTGAATAATTTTATGTACCTTTATAAAAGGGCAGTTTTCCTTAATTTTATTTAATGTATGCTCTAAATTTCATTTCAAATTCTTACATTTTATTAATAGGCTACATTCAATTAAAATAATAAGACAGCCTAGCGGCCAATCAAATTAAATAATTTACATTGAAAAATTATAACTGTATTAAATGAGATTATGAGATTGTTTTAAATATTTTTTTAATAATATAAGGAATGTTGAAAAGAATGATACTTTGAAACTTAACCGCCAGTAGGAGGCGGCAGGCGGCCGTCTTAGTGAGCGATTCATTGAGTCATTCATTTAAACGATTCGTTCAAACGGCTGATTGATTCAGAATGAGGCGGTTTAATAATGGGTAATTGAATCTTTGACTCGAGCGATTAGTTCAAAACGCTGAATTATTCAGTAATGAATCATGGATGAGTGTTGCTCTGAGATGCGCTGTGGTTCTGTTGTTTGGAACTATTTTCGCTGCTGAAACAGAACAAAAACAGTCATTGCGTCTAAAAATGTAAGTAACTTAATTTGAACTATTTTACTTGTTTATCGAACTGTTATGAAATCAATATCTCGGTTTCAATCGTGATGGCATTCAGGAAAACAGCACTCTGGTCGTGTGTAGCCTATATATTGTTTCTTAACTATAAATTAATGTTATAAATAACTGCGCGAGCCGCAACAGCGCAACTTTGTCCGTACATTAGCAGGAGCACAACAACAACAACTCACTCGGCTAGCTGCCCTTCTCTATCTCCACGGTGGTTAAAAATGGTACGGTCCACAATAGGGGTGTTCGCTGAAATCGCTTTATATTAAAATGTTCCTACAGTGAAAATAGGAGTTGACTTGTATTGTAACTGTAATTATATTTTTTCACAATATCAGAAAAATTATCTGACCCCCCCAAAACTGATATTTCTGTCCCTGTAATTCGCACTATGTATTTACCGCAGCCCTGCTCGTCTGCGCCGTTCTCGCAGTCGGTCTTCCCGTCGCAGTGCCATCTGGTGGACACACACTGATTCAGACGCCCGCCGCAGCTGAACTGCCCCGGCAAACACGACTTCTCTCCTGTGGAATAGACAGATTTCTGAACTTTAATGAGGTGATTGTTACATGTACACTCAGAAAAACTCAACTCATGATGCTAAAACACCTAAAAGTGCCTCTATTATGCCTTTTAGGATGTGACTTTTCATGTAGTGTGTAATAAATCTGTTTGTGAATGTAAAAGTTTCAAAGATCACAGTGCAGATAAATAGTGTCATTGTTTTCCAAAAGAAAAAAGCGATTCTGAACTGAAACGAGTCGTCAGTTATTCCAGTCTCACTTCCTGATGAACCTGTGTAGGTTTGTGACTCATTTGCACTTGATTGGCTGAACAGCGTCTCTTAGCCCCGCCCTCAATCACTGTAGTGTATCTGAGACTGGGAGAGTTCGGCTCGTGTCGTTCGTGTCGAGAAGACGCTGTTTGAGATTGATACGGTGAAACCCACGCCATCGTCACTGTTCGTATCACTGTGATCAAGAGCTGAGATTCAGATATGATAATGAGCGTTTGCTTTCTGACCAATCAGAGCAGAGCAGCTCCCAGAGAGGCGGAGCTTAGAGAGACTGAATCTTTATCGAAGCGTTTCAGACACTGAGAGAAAAGAGCTGATGCTGCAGTGGAGATTATGAGAAAGTTAATTGTATGTAAATATTTGTAGGAGACATTAAAATAGCATAAAAGGGCACTTTAATGAATAATGTTTGTTAAGCGCTGTAATGGTGATGGAGGAGTGTGTGACTCACGGCAGGACTGAAGAAGCTCATCACTTCCGTCTCCACAATCGTCCGCATCGTCACAAACCCATCGGCTGGTGATGCATTTCCCGTTTCCACACCTGAACTGCTCCTGACTGCAGCCTGCTGCACCTGACACACACACACACACACACTCGTCACATACAAGCTTCACATGTTTGACATATTATTTGTTATGAGTCATCATAATCTAGCTATGTGTCCTTATCCTTGTACATCAACTCCGAACACTGACTTCTGAAAACATCTGATAGAAACATAAATGTAATTTACATGTTAACGCATATCAATAGAGAGAGAGAAGAGAGAGAGCACACTCATAAATATTCAGTGTGTGAAATGATGACGGGTGTGTAGTGTCTCTTTAAGACAATGGACAGAGGCGGAGTCAATAATCACACCACCAGTTGCTCACTCTAGTCTCTATGGAAACATTTGCATAATCAAGATGCAGTAGAAATGAGGGGGCGGAGCTTGACGGAAAAGATCCAGAATGATGTTTGGAGAAGAGACGGGATGATTCTGCTCAGCTGGAGCTGCAGTGTTTATGCATTACGATGACAGTGAAACCATTTCTGGCCTTGATATAAACCATGTTAACCAACTCGAAGAAATAAAGTAACTCAACTGATTTTCCTCAAAATTCCTCAAATACACAGTGCGACAGGAGGCCACCATGTGTGTGTGTCTCTGTGAGTGAGTGAGTGCGTGAGTGTGTGTGAGAGAGAGAGTTTCACTCCCAAACACAGATCCAGATCACCCTGTCTCTCTCTCTCATCTATTCCAGTAACTGAGCAGAAGTGTCTCACACACACACACACACGCCCTCTCAGTGTTTCCCTATATTTCCCAACAGTGAGTGAAACTCCAAACACACTCATTGAATGAGAAGCAGATGCAAAACATTATCGCAGCGGGATCAGAATCACTGAATTCTTTGAATCCTTAAACACATGAAAATAAATCTGCCATTGAATCTCAGTGTGTGTGTGTGTGTGTGTTTCACTGCATAAACAGTGATTGATGTGATGTGATTGGGTGTGTGACATCGTCCGAGAATCTGTCAAGAACTGGATAAACCACTTCCTGTGAAACTTCTCCTGAGACGAGCGTTTCCACAACAGTAAAACCACAAGACCTGATTGACCCACAGCAGGGACTGATGCCACGGGCCCCCAAATATGACCATCCTGTGAGGGACCCCATCCTAAAATTGAAAAGGCATCTATCTTCTTTTATAATTTATAAAAGAAACTTATAATTTAAATACTAAAAACTATTGTTATATGCTGGGCAACAATTAATCGCATCCAAAATAAAGTTTGTGTTTACATAATATATGTGTGTCTACTGTGTATAAATACACACACATGCATGTATGTATATATATTTAAGAAAAATTTGTTATTTATATATAAAGTATTTATATATAATATAAATTATGTATAAATATATATACATGCAAATATATCTTAAATATATACATATGTGTGTATTTATGTATACAAAATAATTATACACAGTACACACAGATATATTATGTAAACAAACTTTTATTTTTGATGCGATTAATCGTTGCCCTGCACTTTCTCTAGACTTTTCCATATACCCCGTGCCTCCCTTGCGGCCCCTGGATGCATCAAACTGCCCCGCAGACACAAACTTACACACCTCATGAAACATGAAAGTGATGCATAACTCATAAACAGACTAATTTATTACATGAGATCAGCGTAGTGTGTTGATGTACAATCTCTTATCAGTGATTCTAGTGTGACTGTCATCCCGTCGAAAGCGACCAATCAGAAGCCGAATTTAAAGTACCTGATTAGCGCGTCCAACCAATCAGCGACAACAGCGCGCAGGTTCTTCATCCGCGGCCAATCAGGAGACGCGTTTATTCCTGTACCGCTTGTTCGGAATGATCGTATCGAGACTGAGGCGGTTAATAAATGAATAAAACACCGCAACCGGATCTAATAAGAATTTATACGCGCTGTATTAAATACCCTGTGATAAAAAAACAACCCAAAACTGTTTAATCAAACTCACAGAACAAACCAAAAATAGTTTGAACATAACATCGGAAAAACCCAAGAAATAAAGAACGGAAGAATTGTTTGAAATGGGCAACGGTCACTCATCATCATCATCACACACAGCAACGGCCACTCGCTCACAGAGGCAGATCTACCTCATCATATTCATAAACTGACACTTACGGGTTCCGTGGACACAGTGAATCAGAAGAACCGAGCAGATGAAACCGAGCCGAGCGCTGATCCGAATCTCCATCCCCTGATCAATCACACGCTGTTCAGTTCACTTTCTGAGTGGTAACAGATCTCCGTGAGTAACTTCTGAAGCTCGTGTGGACCGGTACCGTACTCTCGCCAACAGTGACAGGGCAAATCCTCCTCACGGGGAAAAACCATCCATTTCAATGAAGCCCGCGGGGGGCGTGGCCTAACAGTGGTGTGATGTTCGAAATGAGGCGCGTCATCGCAGTGGGCGGGGCCTCTCGGAGTCGGAACACAACACACACCCACTGTTGTTGATTCTCTCTTATCATTATGGCAGTTTACACATGGGGCGCTTCCACTGAGATAAGGGAAAGAATGAGACACAAGTATCTGTGTGAACTATGTTGTGTGTTAGATGTGCTGTACATGTCTTGAAAATACACATGCATGACAAAATCAGGTTTCTAACATGATTGGATGATTTACTGCATAACAGCACAGTATAAACACATACTAAATCAGGAGAGAGTGTCACCTGAAACCCATGATTAGTCCCTCAGGGGCCAAAACTGCTCAACGGGGCCCTTACTGTGAAACCACTCCACAAAGCATCATCCGGTTCCATAAACGGAAGAGATTGTGCTTATAGAAATGAGTTATCTTCAAGCTGAATCATATTGCACTGCAAATACAGAAACCATAAAATCCTCGAATATAAAAGTGAAGCGTCTCACTGAGTGATTTGCATTGTGTTTGTGTCTGCAGGGAAATGATGTTTCCGAGCGTCGGTGAGATAAAGTTACTCGCTGGAGATCGGGTGGACGGCAGGAGCCGGACTCAATGTCACGTGTGCTTATTTTACATAATAAAGCCAGGAAAACCAGCTTACAATTGAATTTGATGATTTGAAAGTTAAAAATATGCACTAGCTACCAGTCAAGTTTTGAATCGCTAAGATTTTTAATGTTTTAAAAGAAGTGCATTATGCTATCCAAGGCCGCATTTATTTGGTTAAAAAGATCAACAACAATAAAAACTGTGATATTGTTAAATATTATGACAATTTAAAATCAGCTGTTTTCTATGTGAATATACAGTAAAGTGTAATTTATTCCTGAATTTCCAGCATCATTACTCCAGTCTTCAGTGTCACATGATCCTTCAGAAATCACTCTATTATGAGGATCTGATGCTCAAGAAACATTTATTATTATTATATCAAAGTCTTTACTGTAACGTTTGATCAATTTAATTCGTCCTTGATGAATAAAAGTATTGATTTATTTTATTTATTTCCCCCCCAAAAATAAAATAAAAATTCTTACTGACCCCAAACTTTTGAACGGTAGTGTTTAATGTTACAAAAGATTACATTTCAGATAAATGCTGTTCTTTTGAACTTTCTATTCATTAAATAATCCTGAAATAAAAATGTACAACTGTTTTCAACACTGATAATAATCATAAATGTTTCCTGAGCATCAGATCCTCATATTAGAGTGATTTCTGAAGGATCATGTGACACTGAAGACTGGAGTAATGATGCTGGAAATTACAAGGAATAAATTACACTTTAATATTCACATAGAAAACAGCTGATTTTAAATTGTCATAATATTTAACAATATCACAGTTTTTGTTGTTGTTGTTCTTTTTAATCAAATAAATGCGGCCTTGGATAGCATAATACACTTTACTGTATATTCACATAGAAAACAGCTGATTTACATTCTAATAATATTTCACAATATTACTGTTTTTTTAAAACATTTTTTTTAGAAGAGACTTCTTTTAAAAACATTAGAAATCTCACCATTATCTCAAACATTAGAAATCTCTGTGTGTGTGTGTGTGTGTGAGCAGAGAGGGAATGTCCGACGGACAGGTGAACGAGTGAGAGAGACTGAGAGGAATGTTGAAATATCAGTTGTATGACATCATGAGCTGAGACTTGACCTTTGACCCGCCCAAACGAGTGAACTTCTCTAGTCCAGACTCCAGACCGGAGGACATCGACCTTCACACAAACGCGTTGCGTGAAGAATGTGATCGTGTTTGCAGGAGATCCTGAAGAACAGTATATCAGATGCTCTTTCAGTCTCAGCGTTACGACCCAGAGATTAGAGTTCATCCGCATGTTTAGGTCACACTTTACAATAAGGTTCATAAGTTAACATTAGTTAACTACATTAAACTAATAATGAACTGCACTTGTTAATATTTGTTTATGTTAATTTCAACATTTACTAATACTTTATTACAATTTTGTAAACATTAGTTGAAACACTGTGAACTAACAAATACAGTAACAAATGTGTCACTCACTGTTAGTTCATGTTAGTTAATAACTAGTGTTAATAATGAACCTTATTGTAAAGTGTTACTGATGTTTCTTGGGCAATCGAGAGCGGGTCCACACACACACACACACACACACACACACACACACGCACGCGCACACACGCACACACACACACACACACGCACGCACGCACGCACACACACACACACACGCACACCCACACACACACACACACGCACACCCACACACACACGCACACCCACACACACACACGCACGCACACACAACACACTTCAACCATACACAAACATATACACACACTTCATCCATACACACACTTTATCCACACACACACTTCATCCATACACACACTTCATCCACACACACACACTTCATCCACCACACACACTTCATCCACACACACACTTCATCCACACACACACTTCATCCACACACTGATGAAAGCGATGAAGATGAGCCAATGCCTCTGCCGTCCTTCTTCATCATCATCATCATCATCTCTTCAGAACATTAATGACATGAAGACAAGAGTAAAACAGATTTGTCAAAGATTTGCTCTTTAGTGTTTTTGTGAGGCCAACATGATTAGAATCCCGAACATTCGGTTCATCGAAATCTGCAGTGATAAACATGATGTACAACCACAACTGAAGCCGTCCATGAACACTAACGCCACCTAGTGGCCATCGTGCAGTGTTACACACACATCCGCATCGCTCTGCCAGATCACCTCAGAAGTCTCTTCTGCTCACCAAGGCTGCATTTATTTAATTAAAAATACAAAAATAAAAACAGTCATTTTTTTTAAACATGACCATTTAAAATAATGGTTCTCTATGTGAATATACAGTAAAGTGTAATTTATTCCTGAATTTCCAGCATCATTACTCCAGTCTTCAGTGTCACATGATCCTTCAGAAATCACTCTAATATGATGATCTGATGCTCAAGAAACATGATTATTATTAATGTTGAAAACAGTTGTGTAAAACATTTTTTCAGGATTCTTTGATGAATAGAAAGTTCTATTTCATCGGAATCTTTTATAACATTATTAACGTCTTTACTGTAACGTTTGATCAATCTAATGCATTCTTGCTAAATAAAAGTATTGATTCCCCAAACTTTTGAATGGTAGTGTTTAATGTTACAAAAGCTTTCTGTTTCAGATAAATGCTGTTCTTTTGAACTTTCTATTCACCAAAGAATCCTGAAATAAAAATGTAAATAACTGTTTTCAACATTGATAATAATAATTAATGTTTTTTTTTTTAGCATCAGGGGCCTCATTTATAACCGTTGCGTACGCACAAAACAGGCCCTGAAAGAGTCGTACGCCACTTCCGACGCATAAGTTGTGATTTATAAAAACAAACTTGACGGGAGAATGTGCGCACCTGCACGCAAACTCTGACCCATGCGTACGAACGTTTTGGAGACGGAGCAGTTTGGCGACACCGATGGTGAGCTGGAGTTAAATGTCTTTTTGGTCACTTTTAGACAGAAAATCTAAAGAAAATTATACATAGGCTATACAGAAAGATAATACAAATATAATTTCACTCACCAAGCATATCACTTGAGGCAAATATTCATCCCTTCTTAAATGTCCGCGCCAGCGAGCGCGTTGTGCCGTTTAGTGAAACTAACGCCTATCTAACGACAGAGTCATAATCATAAAAACAGTGCATGTTCACAATAACAGTTTAAATAAATAAAAGAATGATTTAAACTGTTTTACTTCTGATATAAACATTTAGATTAAATATGCCATTGTCATTGATGGAGTTAAACACTTAAACATGAAATCATTACTGAGAAGTTACAACATTTTTTATATTTAATAAATATAAATATTTCTTGTGGACGCAATGCTTTTGAACACTTTTCCTCTGGCATGCTGTGTTTTAATATTTTAACTAAAGAGATAATTGCTTATAGCAGATTGTCTGAGAAAATAGTTTCATGCAAATAATGCACAACAGTCTGTTTCCATTAAAAATATAAATCAATAAAAAATACTATTTGGTCAGTGGAAAAGATTGTGAAAACTTTCTCTGAAATGTATTTTACACTATTTGATTTATTTATTCAAAAACAAGGCAAGGATAGGCTACTAAATTATTTTTATTAATGTAGGCTAATGTGACGGCACATCCGTATTAGGCTATTTCATATTTTCCTAATGTCTATACCGTTAAACATGTTATCACGTGGATGAATAATCATATGCAAATGATATGCAGATGAGGATATGCATAGTAAAACTAGGAGTTGTAAGCTCCATATATGGTTATTTCGGGGAGGAGACGCGTGTGCGCACAATCTTCCGCTGACTGAGATTTATCGGGATTTATAAAGTGAATTTTGCCCAGGTTCTGACGTACGCACGGTTTTATAAATCTGAATATTTTTTTGCGTACGCCATTTTTGGCTTTCGGGCGCACGTACACTTTTAGTAAGGATCCTACGCACAGTTTTATAAATGAGACCCCTGATCATCATATTAGAGTGATTTCTGGAGGATCATGTGACACTGAAGACTGGAGTAATGATGCTGGAAATTCAGCTTTGATCACAGGAATAAATTATATTTTAAAATATATTAAAATAAAAAAGTGATTTTATTGTAATAATTAGTTTTTTTTTTAATGAAATAAATACAGCATTGGTGAGCATAAGAGAGTTCTTTAAAAAAACATACCGATCCCAAACTTTTGTACGGCAGTGTATATATATATATATTCAGATTTATAATAATAATAATAATAATACATTTAATTTGTAATGCACTTTATATTTAAGCAAATCCCAAAGTGCTACATGATAAAAACAGGTAAGTGCTAAAAATATAAACACATGGAGAGCATGAAGATAAGAATATATATATATATATATAATGATATATATTACAAATCTAAAAATAGTTTCCAGAAAGTACAATATTATATATCTTTTTTGTATTAAATGTAGGCTATTACTTATTTAATTTTAATCTTATTTTTTATTTTCTATTTTAATGTAATTTTACCGATTAATAACCATTTAAATTTTTTTTTATTTTAATCACTTTCTTATTAATTTTTTAAAAACTAATCTAATTTATTTTCTTGTTTATTTTAACCCAAAAAACCATTTCTTTTCCATTTTCACTGTTCACAGAGAAACCCCTGACAAGCCTCACCCATGCCAGCGTCTCCAACAGAAAACTGCAGTACAGAAACACACACACACATAAGGTTTTAATATTTATTGGGTCTCATGTAGTGAATGAGAATCTACGGCACAAACACACACATTCACTACAGTAAGAGCACATGCCATTACAGAGCTGCTAGAAACATCTACAGTCACGCAGCAAATCAGCAGATACAGAGTTAAAGATCGTCTTTCACATGAACACACACACACACACACACACACGTCTGATTGAAGAGCCGTTCACACGGATCCACTCTGATAACACAGAACACGTTTCTCCATTCCACTGCGCCACTCTTCGTTGTTTCTCTATGTAAACGCTCTAGTCCAGTGGTTCCCAACCTTTTTTTGTCTGAGACCCCCTTTTTCCCAAGAAAATATTTTAGGGCCCCCTTCACATTTAATGATATCATCGCTCTTGTAAGCTTGCAGCAAGGATGACAAAATATGTTGTTTTCAAACAAACGGTATGTTTACTATAACCAGATGTTTATGCACAAATAATAGCCTATAATATTGAAAATACAATAACAAAAACATCAGTAGGCCCTTTGTAATTTAAAAACGTAAGCCTAGGAGAAGCCTATATATTTGAAATGCAAAAACAAAAATATTCACAGTGGTGTGTAGGTAAAAAAGAAAAGAAATATACGCAATTACTAAATGACTGCTGTCTGGGGCCTCAATACTTGCATGTTATTTGTGAGGCTTTATTTTTTACGCTTTTGGCGCTATAGCGAGCGATAATAAACTTGCGTTTATTAACAGAATAATGCGTCTCTCGGAAGAACATTGTAGCCGGAACTACTTCTCTCTGTGTACGTCTATGACAAGTCACGCAGGTACTGGGCTACTCCGCAGCGGCAGCGATCCGAACCAGTGTAAAATAGTCCCAATGTAAACACCTATTATGAAGCCGCCTTTCCACTGCACACGACAAACGACAGCCGTTGGACCGGAAGTCATTCATTTCCAATGGAGATTCGCACGGGAGCTGCGGGGAGTTCCGATCATATGCGTATGCGGAAAATTCGTATCCGATTTGAGCTTTGGATCCGTTGAAATATCTGAACTTCTGCGGCTAGACCGTATGCGACCGGCCGACCGTATGTGATGTATTCTATGAGCGTGAGGCTAGAATTATCAATATTTCAACTCTTTAATGTTATTCTGTAAACGCTATTTCTGTAAAATGTCGGTTATTAATAATTATGGCAGAAGAAAATATTTTATAATTATTAAATCAATATTTATATTGATTAGCTCTGTAAAATCTATTGTTTTTATTGTAGATGTATTGAGGGTCATTTTTTTTGTGTGGATATATTCATGCATGCAGTGCATTCATTACATTCATCATTAATTTTACCATTGTGAATCATAGACTGTAAAAAATAGTTGTGAATAGCCGAGGGTAACGGTTGCTTCACGACCAATTTCAAAGTTCCGTGCGACTGACACTAGGGGGCGAAATGCGACAATCGATACGAATGTCGTGTGCAGTGGAAAGGCGGCTTGAGTCCGAAATTCGCGTCTGAAATGTTCGCACGTTAAAAAATAAATACGCCCGATCATGCTCGCACACCGCCTCCGAAACTTTCGTCCGTCATAAAAAAAAATCAGATCGGGGGTTCGATTTTCTGCGTTTTTCGCATATGTAGCGAGCAGTTTAAATGGTGTTTTTGACAATTCACGCCGCCTTCACACTGGCAGTTGAAATCAGCTCCGATACGGCTCCGAAACGACCGGAAGTCATTCATTTCCTATGGAGATTCGCAGACCGCATGCGAATGGGTCCGAAACGGGTCCGACCCATAGACAGTATAAGAAATGGACAGAGCGATCTCATTGGAGCTCAGTTGAGACAGTTGAAGCCCATTTTTAGCGATTTCTGAGCACTTCCGTTCCTGACGCGCAGACTCAGACCGACTCAAACTAAGCTTGATGACGTGAGCAACCTGTCTGACAGACGTGAATCTTCTAGTAGCTGTGCGTGAAAATTGCCAACGTTAATCTTGCAGAGACGGGGAACTTGAGCAAAGAGTCCTTTATCGTGAGTGAGCAGGAGTAAGAATTCCGTTGCTTTTATGGACTCATTATCTATGGGCTTCTCCCTTGACGGGACGTCCCCCCGATTGCCTGCGAGCTTCTCCTCCTGTCTGTACGGTAATTTCTGTACAGCGCGACAGAGAGTCGAGTAGTTATGACGCAATCATTAGCCTATTTTTACTAAAACTGTTTCTACGGGGCCGTAATGTAACATAGAAGATAATGGAGCTCTGTATACATTGTCGTGTTTCTTTAGAAATAAATAATGGACAAATGGAGTCTTTAAACGCCTCAGATGTAAAGTTATTCGCTGTCAAAGTGACCCCAAAATGAATGGGAGTCAATGGAAATGCTAACGCAAGTGAAGTTCTGCTACAACATGGCGGCACCCGGCCGACTTCAACTTCCGGTCGATGGATTACCCCCTTGGTCCGACCGAGTGCGGTGCGAAGAAAATCGTGTCTGTTGGTCATCCGGATGCGTTCAAAAAATTGAACTCTTGCGAAAAGCTACGGACGGTTCTTATCCGACAATTCCAGCGGAAGTTAGCGTTGCTATGATACTGATAAACAAACCTGAATTCTTATCGTTATAAAATCATTATTTATTTTATTAAAAGTTAAGTTGTCATGTTATTTTTTTTTTTTATGATTTGCTAACGTTATTAGGGCAGTTAATACAATTAAATGGTAGGCAGACATCGAACTAGCCAGAACTAGTCGTCAGAGCCAGCGAATCACCAATACGAAAAAACACGTACGAAGATTTCGGACTTAGACTGCAATACGCAGGACAGTGGGATGGGGAACAAGGTCTAGTCGAAAACGCCCGATCAAACTCATCCGTCTGCGCGTGTTTAACAGGAAGACTCGCACGGTTTTCAACTAAAAATTTCAACTTTTTATTAAGCGTCTTTGGTCGTTCATGTACACGACAGCGGTGCTCTGGGGCCTGAAGACGCTAACTTGAAAACGGGTTTCAAAGTGCAGGTTTTTGAAAAAACGATGCTGTTATTGTCTGTGTGTAAACTATAAAGATGCAAAATTATGAAAACGGTGACATCATGTTCAGTCTATAGACGCGTCGAGTTTCTTCACAAAGTGACAGCGCCCCCTCCTGGCCTGGCAGAACACAGCGCTGTCGCGGATCCGTGTGATCGGGGAGTTTCCACAGCGTTTACGTGTGTAAAACGCAAAGAACAAACTTTCCCTTTTTTAGTACAGCGTTGTCATGTAAACGAACCCTCAGTATACACCTTATCGATAATCCATATATATACACACACACAATTAAAAGCACAGAATATGAATGTAATGCCCTAAATTGTCCGTTAAGTGTGGCTTAATATTAGACAGTAATATTAAAAGACTAAATTCAGTATATAGCGTATTAATAAAACATACTTTGTATAGGCAATCAAACACACACACACACACACAGCCCAGAATATGAACGCAACGTACAAACTTTCACATTTCTATATTATGGTTTTCTACGGGAGAAATGCTTGATGTGTAATTTAGCGTGTTGTGTTCATATTTTATTTATTATTTAAGTTTATTTGAATAGGGACAAGTATGTTACATAAGCTCATGTTCCATACTACAACATTTTAGCCGAGGCTAATTCTCAATGTTAGTCCCTAGTGGGCCTTTACCGAAAATTAAACAATACATAGTTTGTATTTGAAAAGGACCCACATATAGTCGGCTATTCATCATCAATAAGGTGTGAAGGGAGTTTGGTGTTTTAATATCACTGTCTTAGAGCCGAGCGTTTTTAAGCGGTCAAACACACTTACATGGAAAAACAATGGAAGAGCAGCGCAGTGGATGCAAACACACGTTCTGTGCGAACACTCCCTGAACACACTTCACGTTCACATAAAGTTTCAGAGTGTGTGCAAGAAACCTCCAAAGTGCATGTAAACGGGTCAGTGTGAACGGGCACACACACACACACACACACACACACACACACACACACACACACACACACACACACACACACACACACACACACACACACACAGCTTAAATAATGATCATATCAGCATATAATAACTGTTTCTATACTATTACATTGCACATGCACATAACTCACTAGTGCAAGAATCGACAGTTACGGTTCATAATAAATTATTGGACAGACGATCACAAACGTTGCTCTTCTAAAACTGCGATGTCTAATACTCAGTGTCACAGAAACATCTCGTTCAGGTCTGAAGCGTCACGGGAGAGTTTAAAGCCTCGACACACACACACACACACACACACACAGAGCTTCTGTCTGCACAGACGCACGAGGAGTGTGTGTGAACGTACGGTTGCTCTGTGAGCTGAGGAGGATGAGGATGTTCTTCTACTGGACGATGGAATAGTTTCTTTATTGTGGATCTTCATCCCTGCTCCTCCTCACTGACGCTGTTGGAGCGATCCTGAACACACACACACACACACACACACACACACACACACACACACACACACACACACACACACACACACACACACACACACAATCATTTGTGTAGTCTGATGCAACTAAATGTTTTGTATGCTGTGTGTGTGTGTGTGTGTGTGTGTGTGTGTGGGTGCGTGATTGAGTGAGTGTGGATGTGTGTGTGTGTGTGCATGTGAGTGAGTGTGGATGTGTGAGTGAGTGTGTGTGTGTGTGTGTGTGTGTGTGTGCATGTGAGTGAGTGTGGATGTGTAAGTGAGTGTGGATGTGTGAGTGTGTGTGAGAGTGTGAGTGTGTGTGTGGGTGCATGCATGCGTGAGTGTGGGTGTGTGTGTGAGTGAGTGAGTGTGTGTGTGTGTGTGTTGGTGAGTGAGTGTGTGTGTGTGTGTCTTAGTGAGTGAGTGTGTGTGTGTGTGTGTGTGTGTGTGTGTGTGTGTGAGTGAGTGAGAGTGTATGTGTGTTCCTTGTGCGCGTGTGAGTGAGTGTGGATGTGTGTGTGAGTGAGTGTGGATGTGTGAGTGAGTGTGTGTGTGAGTGAGTAAAGGTGTGGAAGTGTGAGTGAGTGTGGATGTGTGTGTGTGTGTGTGTGTGTGTGTGTGAGTGTGTGTGTGTGTGTGAGTGAGTGAGTGTGGATGTGTGTGTGAGTAAAGGTGTGGAAGTGTGAGTGAGTGTGGATGTGTGTGTGTGTGTGTGTGTGTGTGAGTGTGTGTGTGTGAGTGTGTGTGTGTGTGTGTGTGTGTGTGTGTGTGTGTGTGTGTGAGTGTGTGTGTGTGTGTGTGTGAGTGTGTGTGTGTGAGTGTGTGTGTGTGTGTGTGAGTGTGTGTCACCTCCTCCTGCTCCTCATCAGTGTCATCATCACTAACGACAGGTTTTGCGCGGGTTCTGGCGGTTCTCCTGCGTCCTCTTCCTCGCTCTGCACTTCTGTCCTTGCGGCTCAGTTTAATCTTTACCTTCACCGACCGAGCTACACACACACACACACACACACACACACACACACACACACACACACAAACATATGTTCTAAGATTAAGTTATGAGAATGGTATTTCTGAATGTTCAAAAAGTCCAGATTTAAACAGATTTTCTCTTGGTTATAAACGTTAATGGAACATTATATTCTATCATTCTTCCAACATTATGGGAACGTTACATTTGAACGTTCTCTGAAAAAAAAAAAGTTCCATAAATGATGTATAAATAATGTTTTTGTGCTAACGTTTTGATAACATAATTAAAGACCTTGACAGAACGTTAGCCGAAGTTCTGGGAATGTTCCCTGTTCGCTGGATAGATTATTATTATTAATATTGTGCAGTAAATCTATAACTGAGTTCGACTGACTCTCTGAATCCGAGCCTTCGTCCTCTTCATCTTCCTCACTGTCCTCTCCATCACTCTCTTCCTCTCTCTCGATCTTCTGACACAGGCTGGTGAAGACCGACTGCAGCACGATAGAGTCCTCGTAGATCTGACACACACACACACACACACACACACACACACACACACACACACACACACACACACACACACACACACACACACACACACACACACACACGAGAGTAAATACATTTATAGATTTGTGTACATGTGTTTCAGTGTGAGTTGAGCTGAAGAAAGGCTTCACTAAAGTAAATAACTAGGATTATTTGAGCTTAAAACAAGATCTTGAAGGTCTATAGGAACTGAGTGTGTCTGTGAGTGTGTGTGTGAGTGTGTGTGTGTGTGTGTGTGAGTGTCTGTGTTTGCATATGTGTGTGTTTGAGTGTGTGTGTGTGTGTGTGCATGCGTCTGTGTGTGTGTGTGAGTCAGTGTGTGTCCGTGTGTGTGTGTGTGTGTGAGAGAGAGAGAGAGAGTGTGTGTGTGTGTGTGTGTAAGAAAGAGTGTGTGTGTCTGTGAGTGTGTGTGTGTGTGTGAGAAAGAGTGTGTGTGTAGTGTGTGTGTCTGTGAGTGTGTGTGTGTGTGTGAGTGAGAGAGAGAGAGAGAGAGAGAGAGAGAGTGTGTGTGTAGTGAGTATGTGTGTTTCTGTGAGTGTGCGTGTGTGTGTGTGTGTGAGTGTTTGTGTGAGTGAGAGTATGTGTGTGTCTGTGAGAGTGTGTGAGTGTAGTGTGTGTGTTTCTGTGAGTGTGTGTGTCTCTAACCAGTGATCCCTCGAGGTTGAAGGTTTGAGCGTTCTGACACAGCAGCATCACGTCTCTCTCTAGATCATTGAGGCTTCGGTACCGGTGACTCCGGATGCGCTCCTGCACACACACACACACACACACACACACACACACACACACACACACACACACACTTGTGTAACCAAAACGACACCTGAATGAAGCTGAAACCGCTGGCATGGACACACTGACCTTGATCTTCCTGAAGTCCACAGGTTTGCGGATCAGCTCGTAATACTCGGGAAGCTCCTTCCGTGACGGCAGCTGGATGAACACCTCGCTCAACTGACGCCCGTTACTGCAACACACACACACACACACACACACACACACACACACGCTCAGAGAGGGATAATACACACACTCCCAAGACTTGCTCACACTCTCAGTCCAAATCCGGTTTTGTGTGAGTGTGAGTGTGTGTGCGTGTGTGTGAGTGAGTGTGTGTGTGCGTGAGTGTGTGTGTGAGTGTGTGTGTGTGTGAGTGTGTGATTGTGAGTGTGTGTGAGAGAGTGTGTGTGTGTGTGTGAGAGTCTCTGTGTGCGTGTGTGTGAGAGTGTGTGTGTGAGTGTGTGTGTGAGTGTGTGTGTGTGAGTGTGTGTGATAGAGTGTGTGTGTGCGTGTGTGTGTGTGTGTGTGTGTGAGAGTCTCTGTGTGCGTGAGTGTGTGTGTGTGTGTGT